ACGCTCCCAGGTATCAGGGAGATCTAGCAAAGATTATGTCTCCTGAAGTACAATACCCTTTGGACCTCTTTCTGGGACTGTGTGATTGTACCACCTTTTGTCGGTGCCCGTGTCTGATGACACAACTGAACCTTTTGTTAAGAACTTTTAAAACAAAATAAAAGTACCAATTAATTGGTATTCTATCTGGGACTAATTCAAAGGCGTCTTCTAGTACCCTGGGATAGAGTGTGCTCTGCTTTAGAGAGAATCAATCAGTTGAAGATTGATGATGGGGTGCTGAGGTCAGGCTTGCAAATACAGAACCATCTGCAGAGTCTCCTGGGCTGGTACCTGCAGCAGAGTAATTTACAGGAGCAGGTGTTTGCTTTTAATCTACGTTTTTTTCTGCTGAAATTGTAACTTTATTGAGAAAGTGCCTGCAGTTTGTTGTTAAATGAGTAGTTTGTCTATTGTTGCTGTTAAATGTAAACTGCTGAAAGGTTTCTGGAAGTTGTAGTAAGCATGCTGATTAAAAACAAAGGTAAGAACAAAGGCTACGTGATGCTAAATACATAAGTCAGTCATTCATGTCTTCAGAAAACTGCTGCAAATAAACATACTGTTTAAAAGTATTAAACAAACCAGAAGGCTGTTTTCAAAACTGAATGATTTTGTTCAGAAAGGAGCCATTTCTTTATAAATGTCGTTAACTGAAATTATCACAATCAGCAAGATTATTATTTATTTCTGTTTACACACTCCTTTTGGAGGAAGGAAGCTTTCTGAAACCGAAATAAATGCAAGAACTCCAGCTGGAATTTCCCATGAGAATTGAGTTTAGCAGGGTGGGCATTCAGATAAGTCTCCTTTGCTTTGGATCTGAAGCATAACAAAAGGTCAGTAAGAGGTTACTTCTGGATTCAAACTCAGGTTCCTGACTTTCTTGCATCACAGACTCCAGCTCCGCCTAGTCTAGTATCTCTCAACCTGATCCCCAGATCACATAAATTGTCATTGCATCATCAACTTCAACTGGTAGCAAAAGGAACATGCCCTTAAAGTGCTTACAGATTCCAAAGTCTCTACACAAGCAACGCACATCCTCATCTTCTCACAAACCTAATTACTCCATCTCTTCCAAATTCCTTCCTCTTTACTACTCTAGAAATGTTCTTGAGAATTTTTCTTGGGTTTCCTTAATGTATTTAATCCACCTTGTCATTTTTTTGAGGCCAAAAATTACTGGGTTTTGGTTTATGGGGGGTTCACAAAAAAGTTACAGAATGCTGGAAATTGGATAAAATTTGTTTGCATACTTGTATGATTCATGGAGATAAAACCAGGTAACGTCCTTTTTTGCCAATCAATAAGGCAAAAACACAATGGCCAAGTGAATCACTAAAGAAATCAACGAATTCAGAAATGTTTGCAATTCATTCTTTCATTCAGCTTTAGATGTTAAGGCTAAACTAAAGGTCTTGGTCTGAAACTGACCTCTAACCACTTTTCTTTCACACTTTTCTAATATCTGACATATTACTTCATTCATTTTACTTCCCCATTCTTCTGAAACTTTTGAGTTATTGTTTGCAATACATTTAGGAAATTAAATAAGGACAGTAAATCAGCCATTGTGAAAAACTCTGGGTTCTAACTTTTTGTATAAACCTGAGAATTATTTTAATGACAAATCCATTCCTCTGCAAAAAAGAATTTGGAACCTAGATTCAAACTGCTTAGTTCGGCAATTTTTCAGTTCTTAATTGAACTCATTTAATTTTTACCTGATCTGGCATCACCTTTAATTTTCATTTAGTTTCCATTTTTTACTCCTGGGAAGGTTCCCTGTGTTCCTGGCATGTTTCCCTGTCACTCCGATGAATACTGAGACAAAGAAATCTTTCAGTCCCAGAAACAACTACCTCCTCTGTTGCTACTTTTCCTTCTGTCCCTTACAGAACACATGGCTCCTTTCTGTGACCTCTTACTGTGTCAACATTTGTGAAATCTTTAGTTCCACCTTTTGCAATACTTTCCAATTTGGGTAATAACTTGTCAATGAATACTTTCTGTCTATCCTCATCTAAACGACAAAGAATAAATACTAAGGTTTTTCATGAATACCTTAAGCAAGTCTGTTAAATTGCTTATTATGTACAAAAATGGCTTCTCATGCTGTTTTCTGTCCTTTTTAGCTGTACTTTGGATTTCTGTAGCAACAAACTTAACGGTCTATGTTGCTCAAGCATTTTTTTTTCTTATTTCACATCCTTCCTCTTGGTTATGTGCTTTTTTCCTGGCTCCTAATTGAGCTGTGCCTCTGCAGAGGCTCCTTTCTAAAGAAGTAACATGAGCAAACATGCATTAGAATTTTCACATCTTGGCTGCGGAATCTAGCAAGAAATTTACTCAAAACTTACAAAGGCTTAGAATGACCTTCTGTAGGACACACTCACGGTAAATAACACTCAAATGCATAGGAAAGCTCAGATGCATCTCTCTTCCCATAATTTGCTCCTTCTGACCTAAACCTTTTGCTTCAACACAACCCTTCGCTACATTAATACTCTCTTATTAAGAGAGCAGCAAAGAACGGTTCTGCAAATCCCCTGCACCAGAAACCCTAAACAAAGAGACACTGCAGTTCTCCCAACTTTCCATTTTGTATCTTCATTTAATTATAGATACAACACTTAACCAAAACAAGAGGAGTTAACTATTTTCCTAGAATAATACTGAATTCCACAGTTTCAGGTTGAAAGTTGTAATAATTTTATATAGGCAGTCCTAGAAAAGCCTCTCTGAAAGCAAGGTTTATTTAATTAATAGGGAAGGCCTAACAACCTGCATAAGCAAAAGTCCATGAAAGTCCATGATGATGATGTCTGCATGAAATGAAATTCTGCAGCAGTTAGACATTAGCATTATAAGGACCTAAAAATTGTGCTGCGCGAACTAAAGGTCAAATGACCCTAACTTTTATTTAAATTATAACATTCCATTCACAGAAATCTACCTTTAAGTATTGTTTCCTTTCTGCATTTTTCACATTGAATCTGGCTCTTAGACATTAACCTTACTAAATTTGAACATCTGTGTGTTCCCCTCTTTTTGAAATGAAACTCATAGAGTTTTGAGAATAAATAATCAGTCCGAGTTCTCATTTCAAATGTAATCGGACATTTTATTTGGTGCTAAGGTAACTCAGCAACTAGCTTTCAGTACCTTGCTCTAGGTTAAGTTTGATTAACTACATACAGCTAATAAAACCAATGGGCAAATCCTTTGCATGAAAATGTGAACAAAGCTACACAGACTCTACATAACTTAGTCTGAAGTTCCTTACACAACTTATGCTTTTTGCACTAAGAGAGACAGAATATGTCCCAACGTTTTATTTACTTTACTGATGACTAAAAATGTGCAATGTATATGTCTTAGCATCACCAGGTCAACTGCACAATATTTCAGGAGGAATTGTTACTGAAAAAATGAGTGCTCTTAATCTTGCCACTCTCAGCAGCCTTGCTTGTTTTGCATATGGTTGCATGTTTAATTAGTGATCCTTCTGTAAGTGTCTGCAATTAGCACAGTGATGATTAATAAAATAACGCCTTTAAGCTCCATTTAGGCAGCAGAACTGCACAATCAGGTATAATTAATTCATCATTAATAAATCATGGCTGATTAACTAATCCGTTGATTAGAAACACATTACTGCATAGTCTCCCACCTGAGCTCGGGTGATTTTTCTATCCTGAACAAAAACAGAGACTAAGTAGTAGTAAACTATTAAAAAAAATGCATTAAGCAGCATGTATATCGATTTGGTCAGGAAATTTAGATAGTAGGTACATTTAAAATTTACTGAGCTTTGTTAATCATTGGTCCCCTTGGGTAAGAAAACTGCACTGTCTATTTGTTAAATCTGGACAGGCAAACAATAATTGCTTCTTTAGTTCATTTATATTCTTACAAAGTTTTTTTAAAAGCATCCCAGACTATGGACCAGATTCACTCTTTGCATAAGCCAGTAGCGAGTGGCAAATGCCACAAAACAAGCTTACAGTCCTACTCAGGAAGGTCCAAGTCACTAGCAGGACAGGGAGCAAACTGGCTTAAGGAAAGGCAAGGTCAAGGTGGCTGCAAAATATGCCACTGCAACACCGCTCTTGAGAGTTACCTGAACAGCCACATCTTGCATCTGGTAATTCCATGTTTATATATCATGTATCAAGTCCCAGAAGCTCAGAAAGACTGAAAAAGAATATGCATTTCAATTTGGAGATTCCTTTTGCTTGTCACCCAGCTCTGGAGCTTTGTGGTGCAGTTAAATCGCATTTTCAGTATGTTCTGTGCAGCCACAGGAGCTAGAAACTTTTATTTTAAATGAATCCTAGGAGTCTCACATTGTTACCTACCTCCAGCTGCTTCAGCTTAAGTAAAACATCAGCTATTATGAGTTGTGATAAAATTCACAAAAGCTGGCAACAGAGGATTTTGGCACAACAGAGTTCCTTGTCACTTATAAAGGCTGTATATCCCATCCAGCTGTTCCCACAGTATGCTAATGCCTTTGAATTCAAAATACTTTATCCCGAAAGTTCACAAAAAAGAAAAATTAAAGAACAGTTTAGGACAGAAGTGATCACAAAGGAGAAAGTTTTAGCTACAGTAATTGGAACAGTTCAATATTCCTAATGAACTTGGAGAAAAGCAAGATGAAAACACTAAAGGAAAAAGCAAACAAAGTCTGACGCCGTATGCTCTAGCAGAAAATTACAGAAGATTTTTAAATTTAAGAGGAAAACTTCAGTCTTTGAAAAGTAAAATCTGTTACTGTAACCAATAATGCTTTCTTTCAGGTTTAAAGGGTATCATTGTTAATTTCCTAAATCCTTCTGCTAAAATTTTAATTAAAAATATCACCAAGCTACAGTACCATAAGCCACCACAATACCAGTCATCTTTGAAAATCTTAAGCATACAAAAGAATCACAAAGCATTTTTCTCAATTATTTCTATTTTTTTCATAGTTTAATTCAAGTAAATTAATGAACATAGATTTTAAACATCATTTCTAGTTATGGCAAAGACTTTTTTTTTAAGGAGCACAGTCATATTTCATGCAGAATGACTTAAAATGGAAAAAGTGATTATTTCATGGGTCAGAGAACTTTACCAGAGACCAATCTAGGAATGAGAAATGGCCTTTAACATGGGATTTGAATGTAAAGAAAAAGAAAATCAGTTGAGAGTGGTAAAAGAAAATAGTTGTCCTTGGACAATTTCTGAGAGCAGTGTACATATGAAGCGGTGAGAAAAAAGTGAAGATAAAACCAAAGATCTTGAAGATTAGAAGTGAACATTTTAAAGTAAGTTTTTAAATGGACATTAAGCAAGCAAAGATTTTTGAAGGCAGTGGTGATTTACCACCTATAGCTAAGAAGGAATTAGCATAACATGAATAAACTGAAAGTGTAGGTGATTAAACTCCTAGTGTCAATTTCTTCAGAAAGTCAGGTTTCCTTTTAAAACAATAGCAATTTGCCCCGCAATGTCAACTCTTCCATCATTACGTAGTGAAATCTTCAGTTCTCCTCCACGGTGAGAACACTGAAAGGCTGAATGAAAACAAGAATTCACAAGTTACGATTCTAGTATCTGTTACAAACTTCAGAAATAAAAATAATAAAAGAACCACCCATGGAGTTCATGAAAACTCGGGAAAAAAGGCTTCTTTCTCTCCAGAAAGCAAGCAGCACCAGGGCAAACTCTGTCACAGGGATACCCTGGATGAATTGTTTTTACAGGTGAAAATTAGTTGAGGGTCTATCTCAGACTAGAATTTGTGTACTGAATATGACAAAAATACTCGTCAATACAAGTAATGAAGAATGCTTTTTCGTGATGCAGCCAACCACATTTCCTTTGTATATCTGAACGTGTCTTGAATTCTCCCATTCATTGGATAGACAGTTTCCACAGGTAAGAAGAAGGAACACAACATATTAACTGGATAAGCATGGAGAACCACTCTACTGGTATTGAGCACCTGAGCTAGATACTAGGTTCAAAGAATGTGTTTGGTCAATGTGTAAATAAAATGCAAGTAGCCAGTGAAAGAGGTCTTCAAAATGACATTAGCTACTGCTTCAGCTGACACAAAGCAAGACCTAAATAAATTCCTAAAGCAAATCCCTAAATAAAGGAACAGATATTGCTCTCTATAATCCTGACTATATCGTTTAACCCACCTGGATAAAGTTTCAAGTAGAAATAGCCTTCCACTTGTAAGTAATTACAAAGCTAAGCTTTTGCCTAAACTGTTTCGTCATATTCAGGTAGGAAGATAATGCTCTCTTCACATGTTGAGTCTGTAGTCTTCTTTCAAGAGTCTAGTTTCAGTTGTTTAACTAGCTGATCAGAAAATGGCCCGATTAAGATGACATTTGGCAAAGGTTACAGCTTAATATCACTTTGTTTTTGTAAAAGACAGTAAACGCACAATGAACCAGTGATGTTCACAATCTTCTTACTCGCCAAATTTCTATTACAAAAGTTGTTTGAAGCTACAGGGTATATTTTTCCTCACTGTTTGAAAATGGCAATTTGTAAACTTGGTAGAGATTGTATTCAGAGTCCAACAGAGTACAGGATCTCTAACAGATGGTGTATATATTGTACACTTCAAAACAATTTCTTAACTGCAGCTGACAAGAAAGCTCTTACTGATAACAGGATATCAGATTCTGAGACAAAACGCTCCAAAACAGTGTGAACTGAAGCTGTATGAAGATCAATACGGATACTTTCTGTTCTTCTCCATTTACAGACCTGCTAATTACTGTTTTTAACCTAGGACAACAATATCTACATATGCCCTAATTTTTTCAATTGGAATAATTTGGGCTTCTAAAGAAGCAGACCATGCTAAATTCGATGAACTATTATTGCCAAATGAGGATCCATGGCTAAGCTCTCCCACTTTCTCATGGCAGCAGATTTAAAGAAAAGGGGAAAATTGTTTCAAATCTTCAGAAGTTTGGTTTTGTTTTTACTTTTTTTTCCAACTGTGGAAGTACTGATGGTCCTTTCATGGCAGGATTACTCAGATTTTGATACCATGCTATTTTATTTTATTTTTAAAGAAATCTCCAAATGAGAAGGAAAAAAAAAAAACCACACACACACACACAAGAAAACTTTATCAAAGTTCAAAGTTGAAAAAAATTCTTGACCATTTCTTTTTGTCACAAAAAAGTATTGTTATTTCACACTACATCTGAAAGTAAACAGACTCACATTGAACATTTCATTAACTGGAATATTTCATTCAATAGCAATGTCTTCACAGCCTTTCATGCATCTCTGGTGTGCATTTGCTTTTTGCATCATCCAGTTGTGCTTCCCTCCCACATTTGTACCTACTAAGATAATCTCACACTACATACACTCTTCCCAGAACAAAAACAAATATGCACATTCTAATCTGCAAAAATAATAGGAGCTGAATTCACGTTGCTCTGAATTCCTCTGTGATCAGTCTAAGGTAGAGAAAAGTTTAAGCCTATCTACAAAGATTCTGAACTTAAGCATGCTGATATGCATCCTTGTCTTGACAAGGAAGCCAGTGACTTTAAACTAATATTAGCTTGTTGTTTTGAGGAGCTTCTTATGAGACTAGGTACATCTAGATGACTGCTGGTTACAGAACCTGAGGACTTAGGAATTTTCTTCAAGTCAGAAAAAAACTGCCATTCTTATAAAAATACCTGTTTTTAAAAGTTATTATTTAGGCTGAATTTCTAAACCCTATGAAAGGATTGATGAAAAAGTTTTTTTTTTTTTTGGACAGTTATTGGGTAGCACTTAAGTAAGAGCTCAAAGACTTCTTTAATCTAAGAAAGAAGATGGACAAATCTAGTGACTGATGGAGGGAAACACCTCTCCTTTGGCACTTAGGTATAAATCTGAGGTAGCCCAAGTGAAAGAGTATCTATTAAAAAAAAAAAACAGTAAATTTTAATCAGTCTATATGCCAAGATTAACTGGGAAAGATGAATGCTATGGTTACACTGCTGCAGAACTCTTCTCTTGATCAGATGTTAAATTAGCAAAACACCCAAATACAGGTGGATTGATTCCACCTTATGAAGCAACTTCTACTTTAAAAAAAAAAAAAAAAGTTACAAGGCCGAAAAGTTAAACGACAGGACCTTGTGTTGAAAGCAATCCTGGCCAATTTGTGAAAGGCCATCTTTCGGTTATTAAAGTTCTTTTTTTTTTTT